TTCCTTGAAGGCAATGTTTCCAACCCTAGGGGCGCCAAAGGAAATTACGCTTATCATAATGCCAGGGAGTTTTTCGGCAGCTTCATAGGCATTGAGCAAAGCCAATGCACCTCCCAAGCTATGCCCTGTGATTGTTAGGCTCACTTCTTCACCTTTTGCTTGGTACAACTCCACAAGCCTAGTCACTTCTTTCATGACTTGCTCTGATGCACTAGACTTGTTGTACCTTGTGGTGTCACTCTTGGCAGTGTAAATCCCATGGAAACCATGTTCCACTTTGGCATCTCCACTCCCAATTGGCTCCAATTTCCTTTGCATATCCTCATACCACTCTGATGGCACCACGGTCCCCCGCCACGCCACCACAATGTCCCTCCTCCCAATCCTCCTAGTCTCCTCATCATCGCTCACAGCAACATACCCCATCCAGTTAGAATGCTTGCTCCATGTGTCAGCCAAGTGTGACCTCTCCAGCCACTGTGGCATGTCGATGTGTGACATTGCATAAATGTACTTGCTAACATTGTAGCCATTTTTGTCTAGACCCAACACATCAAAGAGCTTGTTTTTGTTGTACCTGCAGCTCCCGCAGTACTCGGAGAAGGAATCGAAATCGAAAGCGTCATACGTTGCTTGTGCAAACTCACCATATTTGACAATCTCTCTTCTTAGCCAAGGGTGGAGAGGGTCCAAAAGACCCTCCCAATCATTTGACCCGTGGATTTCGCGCCATTTTTCGGACATGATGTCTTTCGGAGAAGTCGTGGGAGTTGAATGCATCTCTTCTATGAGCAGATTCCAATTATTAGGGTTAATGTTGGTTCTTTGAGGAATATCTATGTGGAGGTGAAGGAGGTTGGCAACGGATTTAGCTAGACGGTTGACTTTGTTTGATGTCTTGGTTTGATGGGGATGATCAAAATCAGCTTCTTGATGATGACTAGCTCGGATTTGGGAAAACCGGGTTGCGCTGGGAGTGGCTTGAGCGGCCGGAAGATGGGTGTACATCATAGTTGATAGCTCTATGGTTGCCTTATCTGTTGATGCTGCTCAAATTTCTAAACACACTGCCGGAAAATAGGACTCTAGTAGTAGATGTATTACGATTGAGTGTTCTACCACTTAAGCTATAAGCACCGACGAGTTGAAAATAGAGCTCAATTAGAAGATGGAGGAATTGAGTTTAGAAATGAGAGAATGAGGAAAAGACGGTGAACTATATACAAGCAACAATGAATGTGTCACGCGCGGGACATTGACTACAACATTGGAAAAAAATGTTCATTTGTTTGATTGACCATTGGTATTTTATTTAGACTTGTTCTTGTTGATTGAGACAAATCTCCAAACCTCTTCAAGTTTAACCTTGCTCAACGGGAAATTATCAAGATTGTCACTCCCAAAACGATGAAGTGGCATTTGGTAATTGCTTGAAATAAGGAGGGTAATATATATGCAGATCATGTAGACTTCAAATTTAGGGACAACATTATTAAACAAATTATAAACAAAATTAGGTACGGGGAAATATACGTAAGGACCATTTTGGACGTTCAACACGTATGGTGGAATCAGTTCTCAGTTTTCACACTTCCTTTGCACCCCTAAACACGCGAATTCTTGTTAAAAGCATTCTAAAGTGGAGGCCACTATAACTACAATTTAGTGATATATTTTTACATATTAAAGTGGAAGCGCCATGTTAAATTTTAGTTGTCTCATATATAGATGACAAGCTTGATATCTATAGCTAGCTGTGATTGGTCTATTAGATGACCTAACCCAAATTAGCTGTGATTGGTTTATTAAACAAAGTAAAATCAAAATTAGGTACGGGGAAATATACGTAAGGACCATTTTGGACGTTCAACACGTATGGTGAAATCAGTTCTCAGTTTCACACTTCCTTTGCACCCCTAAATACGCGAATTCTTGTTAAAAACATTCTAAAGTGGAGGTGCCATGTCAAATAAGACGATATAACTACAATTTAGTGATATGTTTTTATATATTAAAGTGGAGGCATCATGTTAAATTTTAGTTGTCTCATATATAGATGATAAGTTTGATATCTATAGCTAGCTATGATTGGTTTATTAGATGACCTAACCCAAATAACAAAAATAAAAAGAAAAATTTTATTCCGACCCATTTATTATTTTTTTTGCCGCCATCTTATCATTTTTTTATCTTAAAATTATGTATGTGCCCAACAATTTCCTTTCTACACCCAAAATAAAAAAGAATAAAAAATAAAAAATAAAATTCCAACACTAGGAAACTCTGAGCACCTCATCTCTCCAAACCCCATTGACGTCCAATTTCTACCCCTCTCCACCACCTCCCCTACCACCCACAATGAAAACTCAAAAGTCTCAGCCACACAACAACTGCTTCCACGCAGTCCTAACATGTACGGAATCTGTTGAAATTGTCGACTAGTCGAATTTATTTGTATTAGACCATTGATTGTACAATATATGTGTAGAATCACAATTTTAAAATTATCATTAATTAAAAAAATAAAAAAAATGGTCATGACTTTCTTTTGGGTCTTTTTAAAGCTGGGTTGTTAGGGGATAAGGATTGTTGTGGATGGTAAGGGAGGTGGCGGTGGGGGTTTGGTGGAGGTAGAAATTGGGGTAGTTGGAGTTTGGAGAGATGGAGTGCCAAAGTTGCCTATAGCTAGATTAATTTTTAGGAAAACTAATGAAAAAGGCTTGAAAACTTTGAGTTTTAACAATAAGGACAAAATAAATGGTAAAGTGAATAGTATCAAGATTGATTTTGTAATGTAAAAATGTGGTTTTTCGTTAAAGTGAACAGTACCGGGAACTTTTCGTTAAAGTTCCCTTAATTTTTTTGTTTTGTTGTTCTTGTTTGGTTTAGAAAGAGAATTGTTTGACACATTCGGAATTCAAGATAAAAAATAATAAATTGAGTGTAAAAAGAAATCAAATGAATATAAATAAAATTTCCTATATCAAAATTGTTCCTGTACCAATATAAAGTCATGACGCACTCCTCTTCCTCATATTATTTCACTATTGAGGAATACATGATACTTTTTGGGAGTGTAAATAGGGCTGGAAAAAAATCCCAAAAATCCCAAACCAAACCGAAAAAATCCCGAACCCAAACCGAAAAATCCCAAACCAAAATTATCCTGAAAATCGGTAATCCCATCCTGAAAAATACCGAAATAATCGGTATGGGATTGGTTTCCAAATCCCATTTTTTCGGTATTCCCGAAATCCCGAAATGTTTTTTTTCTTTAGCTTTCGGTTCCCACTTCCTAAGTCAAAAGCAGGAGCCTTTTGGCTTCCACTCACAGAAGGCACCAAAATATTATTAAAAAATTGGGAAAGGTACAAATTGGCTCACAGAAGGCACCAAAATATTATTAAAAAATTGGGAAAGGCACAAATTGGCTTTGTGTTTCGATTCAGACTTCCCACCTCAAAAGCAGGAGCCTTTTGGCTCCCACTAACAGAAGGCGCAGAGAGCAGCACTTGAAGCAGAGAGCATCACTCATGGGGCAGAGAACATCACTCTTCATGTTGAGAAGCAGAGAGGAGAAGAGAGAGGAAGGAGTTACTGCCGAAAGCTCTTGAGTTTGGTTTTGACAGCAGCACTCTTCGTGTTGAGAAGCAGAGAGGGCAAAGAGCTACTGCCGAAAGCTCTCTCAAATCTTCGAAGCTCGACCCATATCTTTCTCTTTCCTCTCTGAAGCTTTCTCTGAATTAGGGTTCGAATGAGGATTTATAAATTAGGAATTTACGATTTAGAGCTTTTGATTGTTTTGATTTGGATTTGGATTTCTTGATTAATTTTCTGGGGATTTCTGGATTAATTTTATGTGGATTTGGTTGATTTGGATTTTTGGATTTCCATGGTCAATTTCTCCTTTGCATGTTCGATTTCTTTTCTGCTTTGCATGCTCAATATGCAGGTTTGAATCTTTTCTTCTTTGCATGCTCGATCTGCAGGTTTGAATCTTTTCTGCTTTGCATGCTCGATCTGCAGGTTTGAATTGAATTGAATTGAATTTATCAGCTTCTTCCATTAACAAGAAGCCAAATTTTTTTTGAATTGAAAACCGAAACCGTACCGAAATCCCGAAAATATTTCGGGAATCCCGAAATTCGGGAATACCGAAATTTTGGTTTGGGATCGGGATTCGGATTTTCATCCCAAAAAGGATCGGTTTGGGATTCGGGATCCCATTTTTGGGACGGGATCCCATACCGATCCAGCCCTAAGTGTAAATACAAAAGCACTAGTTTGCTTCTGATAAAAAAAATAACCTTAATTTAATAAAAAGAAATAAATTTGAAAACTCATGGACCTAATTGTTAGTTTCTGTTATTGCAGCCAGCAATAAAAGTTAATTTGCGAGATCCCTTTTTTTTTCTATAGTTTGATTTTTTAAGTGTTTCTCGCTATGGTTTACAAATGTATAGCCAAACGAATAAAACAAGAAAGCAAAAAGCGATTTGGCCAAAAAATAAATTGACAGTAAATTAGTAAAGCATTACAAATTTGATCCAGGCCATACCCTAATTTCCCGATCATACTTAATCCAACTACCAGTGTATAACAAGCAATAAGAACAAAGTAGAAATATTTTTTATTTCCGACCAACTTAATCCAATTTAATCCAACTAGTAGAGTTTAATAGGCGATAACACAAAAGTATACCGGAAATTTTTTATTTCGGTATAATAGTCCATGCAAGTGCTTCCAATCAACCATACAACTTAATTTATAGGATCGAAATTTGATATTTCTTTGTAATAAATAGGGAGTATGTCCTTCGGCTCATCCCATCCACCAGTCATTATTAGGGTTAAGAAACAAAACCAGCTCTTTGTATGCATGCTGCAAGTCCGTCCAACGACTGAAGGATGAGGCTTGAATCCCAGCAAAATTAATAAGAACTTAGCTGGCTCGAAAGTCAAGGAATCGAAGCAGTTTTGGAGAATGCTTAAAAAACAAGGTAAACAAGTAGGCCAAACATTCAAGTTCTTAATCAACTGTCAAAATTTACATGTTAATTAAGCACTACATAAAGATTCAAGTATATAATCTGATGATGGTTGCATCATCTCTAATTGAAGAGCATGAGCTTGCGCTTGTGCTTCTCTTGTAGGTGAAGGTATGTCTTCAGGGTCTCGTTTCGGTTTAACCCATCTCCCATGAGCGTTTCTTACTAACCCCTTGTGTGGCAATTGGTACCAGCATTGCGGAATTCTAAGATCATCCACCAACATGTCACATCCCTTGTTCACCAAGGCAATATCCCTCCTAGCATTTGACCTAAAAGTAGTGTCTGTACTAAAAAACCCATCCACAAGATGGAGGTAGGTCTCGAGGCTATGAAACCCTTGCAGATTGAACCCGCCACGCTTGAGATAAGGCGAAAAACCAACTTCGAGCTTCAATTCAGCCCCAACATGTGTGTAAACCCAATCCAATGTGCCCGTAATGTCATCAAACTTCTTAAGACTCTCATTCAAAACAAGCCCCGGCATTTTCGGAACCATGTCTTGTTTAACCACAACCCTCAATGTATTGACTCCCATTTGGTGTAGCTCTTCCTTGAAGGCAATGTTTCCAACCCTGGGGGCGCCAAAGGAAATTACGCTTATCGGAAGGCCAGGGAGTTTTTCGGCAGCTTCGTAGGCATTGAGCAAAGCCAATGCACCTCCCAAGCTATGCCCTGTGATTGTAAGGCTCACTTCTTCACCTTTTGCTTGGTACAACTCCACAAGCCTAGTCACTTCTTTCATGACTTGCTCTGATGCACTAGACCTGTTGTACCTTGTGGTGTCACTCTTGGCAGTGTAAATCCCATGGAACCCATGTTCCACTTTGGCATCTCCACCTCCAATTGGCTCCAATTTCCTTTGCATATCCTCATACCACTCCGATGGCACCACGGTCCCCCGCCACGCCACCACTATGTCCCTCCTCCCAATCCTCCTAGTCTCCTCATCATCGCTCACGGCAACATACCCCATCCAGTTGGAATGCTTGCTCCATGTGTCAGCCAAGTGTGACCTCTCCAGCCACTGCGGCATGTCGATGTGTGACATTGCATAAATGTACTTGCTAACATTGTAGCCATTTTTGTCTAAACCCAACACATCAAAGAGCTTGCTTTTGTTGTACCTGCAGCTCCCGCAGTACTCGGAGAAGGAATCGAAATCGAAAGCGTCATACGTTGCTTGTGCAAACTCACCATATTTGACAATCTCTCTTCTCAGCCAAGGGTGGAGAGGGTCCAAAAGACCCTCCCAATCATTTGACCCGTGGATTTCGCGCCATTTTTCGGATATGATGTCTTTCGGAGAAGTAGTAGGAGTTGAATGGTTCTCTTCTGTGATCATATTCCAATTAGCAGGGTGAATGTTGGTTCTTTGAGGAGTATCTATGTGGAGGTGAAGGAGGTTGGCTAGGGATTCAGCTAGACGGTTGGCTTTGTTTGATGTCCTGGTTTGATGGGGATGATCAAGAACAGCTTCTTGATGATGGCTAGCTTGGATTAGGGAAAACCGGGTTCCATGGGCAGCGGCTTGAGTGGCCGGAAGATGGGTGTACAATAGCGCCATGGTTGCCTCCTGCTCAAATTTCTAAACAAACGGCTGGAAATAGGGGTCGAACTCCGAGGAGTGTTCAACCGCTGAAGCTATAAACTCCGACGAGTTGAAAAGAGAGCTCAGAATATTGGAGTAATTGGAAATTAGAATATGAGGGATCGAGGGATCGAGGGATGAATTATATACAAGAAAAAATTAATGTGTCACGCGTGAGACAAAGACTAAAACATGGAATTATGCAGTGTTTGATTGACCATTTGTATTTTATTTAGACTTGTTCTTGTTGATGGAGACAAGTTCACATGCAGGGAAACCCAAATCTCCAAACCTCTTCAAGGTTAACCTTGCTCAAGGAGAAATTATCCAGACTGCCACTCCCCAAATGATGCAGTGTGGCATTTGGTAATTGTTTGAAACAACGAGGGAAATAAATAGGTAGATCATGTCAACTTCTAATTTAGGGACAACGATTAGTCTTGGGGAAGAAGAAGTACGTAATGACCTTAGTGGACTTTCAACACGTAGTGGTGGAATCAGTTCTCTGTTTTCACACTTCTTCCTTGCACTTCCTATAAACGCGAATTTTTTGTTATAAAACGGGAATTGTAATTAGAAAACTAGATTTTAATCATTTAAGTAAGATGAAGTCTAGAAAAATATCTTATATAAGATTAAAATTAGATTTTAGTCTTAGACTCTATTTAATATCTCTTTTTTATTTATAATTTTATGATGTTCATAAATTAAATTGCATGAAAATATTATAAATTTTAATTCTCACTATAATAAGTATTTTTCGGTATACTTATGCTTTTGCATATTTTCTTATGTGCCACTAATTCATTACAATATATTTAGGTACAAGCATTTTGGTACACTAGGTTAGTATAATAAGTTTAGACACGGACATTTCGTTACACTAGTTTAGTATAATATATTTAGGTACCATTATTTCGGTACACTAGTTAGTATCATTTATTTAGATACGAAATTTTTGGTACAGTTATGTTTTTGCATATTTTCTTATGTACCACTAATTCACTACAATATATTTAGGTACGGACATTTCAGTACACTAATTTGGTAAAATATATTATGATACGTACGTTTAGGTACACTAATTAGAGGAAGTTAAATAAAATTAATGAATTAAAATGTATATAATAATAATTTTAAATTTTAATGTAATGTGACACACCCTGACTCGGAATGTCCATTAGGACTCCGAATCGAGGTATGATGGCCGACACCTAGAAGGTGACGAAGTCATAAAGTGCAGTTATATGGAAAATGTGAGTAATTTAAACCTAAAAGTGCTTAAATACCAGAATGCGCTTGTAATAACTTGAAATTTTTAAATATATGAAATAGTTATTCATAATTATGAATATGTGGGGAAAATAAAAAATAAATCGATTTATGATTATGGAAATAGAATTGGGAAATTTTAAAGTTTTGTTTCCGAAAATTATTATAAGTTACGTAAAGTGTTATCGAGATTTTATGTTATTCATTGAGAAATTATATTAATTTATTTGAATCTAGTTTTAAATTAAACTAGTTATGAAGTTTGAAGTTGGAAATTAATTATTTATAATCCATCGACCTTTTTAGGTCACAATTTATATTTGAGAATAAAGCTCGACCTCACGAACACGTGGGCGCAAAACGTTCGTGAAACGGAGTTATAACGAAAGAATTATTAATGTTTAAAGTTAGGAACAAAATGGTAAATTGGTCATTAATTTGGAAGGCTCCAGATTTTTGGAGAAATTTGATCAGCCACGTGGATGTCTGGGATTAAAAGGTGAGGAGGAATAAGGAGGGAAGGGGGACCAATGAGGGAGAAGACCGGGAGGGAAAGGAGAGAAAGGGAGAAAGATGGGAAAATTGGGTTTTCCCCAACCCGTGACCCGATCCGGCGTAATCTCCCAACTCGGTCACCGTTAATGACAAGGTTGGTGTCAAAATGATCCTTACCTCGAGAACCATCGATCTCACTTCCATTTTCATTCGAAAATGTAGGAAAATTGGGTGAATTTTGGGTGAAAACCAAACGGAATGGTGCACGGGTTGGGCTTCAATTCGCCACAATCTAAAACTAACTCCTCCCATTTCCACCACCAAAACACTCTCCCTAAACCCAGGAACAAAGCCCATGATTTGGTTAGGGCGTTGGAGTTGTTTTGGAGCCGAATCAAGAATGCCCAAAAATAAGGGTTTCGACGGGTCGTGGGCAATTTGAGGTGTTCTCGGCCAAATTGGCTTTGGCCATAGGTATGAAAGTTGTTCTACTCATTAAGATCTACTTAACTGTAAAATTTGAAAATTTTTGGAAAAAGTTGATTTTTCCGACGAGTCGGGGCAGCCGACCGCCACCCGCGGCAGCGTGTGTGGTGGCGCCTGGCCAGTGGGCCGACTCTGCCATTTTTCATGCTAATTTTGATGTTTTGAATCCATAATTTATGTTCACATGGTGTGATGAAAATGTTTGGACTGAATTTGTGATTATTGGTCACTGAGATGTTAAAGTTAGTGAATTGGGAATTGTATGTGAACTACGAGAAGCTTGATCCCGCTCAATGGTACGTAGGCAGTCTAACAGTGTTAGATGCAGCCTTAAATAATCGAGAATTTTATTTTAGTTGAGAATTATTCTTAGATCGTAAATTTATTTAAGTGCAGTAAAGGTAGTAAATTGATAAATAAATTGTATTATGCTTTGTTAAGAGAATTAAGGTTATAGAACGTGTGAAATTAAGGAACTTAATTAAAGTGTCGTGAAGATTGGCAGCTAAATAGACGAGAGTTTGAATTTTTGGGCCTATTACCAATAATTATTGCCGAAAATAAATATTTTCGGGGCGGTGTTACAGCGCTGGTGAGCGAGTATGCACCCACTTCACATGTAGTAAAGTACAGTAGTGTGGGTAAAGATCATACCCTCAGAGGTAGTCACTTATACTGACATTCGCCAAGAATCCTCATCGATACGAATTTCCAGCAGCTAAAACCTGAAGGAGCGCAAAACAGAAAATGTGAGTTGGCAAAAACAAAGCTTTTCAAAACCATTTCTCTTTCCAAAAGTAATAAACCCTCGCTGTAAAACCCGTATAATTTTCCAGAAAAATAAAATACTTACATATGTTGAAACCATACTCGAAATACCAAAATCCACATGTATGCCATGTCAAATATCTCTGCATAATGAATAAGTAAACCAGGTGAAGTAAATCAATGAAAAATGATATGTCATCCGGATCCACCTATTGTAGCATGTACAACTGAACCTATAGTTCATCAAGTATGCCTACACACGAGTTGGAACCACATAATGTGGTCTGTACGACATGGCTAGGTGTAATAAGTATGCTCAAACGCTACGATCACGTGAAGGTTGTGCGATAAATCGCAGGTCAGCTACAAGTCGGAACCACCTATTGTGGTCTGTACGACAGAGTTGTGCACCAAACTTGGATCCAATGTGAGCGTGCGGTGCGGGAGGTGAACATCACGTGAAGGACTGTGCCCTGGCCACAGGCGGGAGCACTAACACCGAGGTGCAGGTTAATGAGCTTTAAATGCATTTATGTATAACCATCATAACGTAACTCACAATCAATAACACATATACTCACCTGAAACTTACCTGAGCGTCCGTAGCGTCCAATACTAACATACATAACTACTAATGCATATTCTAAAATATAAACCATTTGACATGGCATCTAAAACGCAAAATCATTTAAATCAATTTTTCTGGGAAAAACGTAATGCATATATACATATATTAAAAACCCAAAGCCCACTCACCTGATGTCCGCGCTACACTCCTTAGCACGAATATCGAGATGTCTCAAATGATGTCTCAAAATTCTTACTGATAGAACACGTAATTTACATAAAACACATCCCCCAGGGACATTCTAGAATGATTTGAAACTCATAGATCCCAAAAGTCAACCGTCGGTCAGAGATCAACGGTAGAGTCCACAACTCTACATAACTTGATTCGGAAGATCTGCTCCTCGGATTTCCTATCCGTAACTTCCAAAGATCCACATTATGCTTCTAGAACAACATCCTAAAGTTTTATTACGATCCAACAGTTAGATCTCCGTCAATTACAAATTCAAGTGTCAGTTAACGTTTTATTTTATGAATTTACAAATCCAATTTGAGAAAATCCGTCGTATTCTCAATCCGTAAGTTCATATGGTCCCCAAATATTATTAAAGTTTGATGATGATCCAACGGTCGGATTTTGCATATTTTCAGGGCAATTTTAGAACTCTATATCTGACTTGTTTCTCAACCAAATTCGACTTAATACACCGACACGAAGCTAAAGAAGTGTAAAACAAGATTATACCTGCTTGGAGTCCAAATGGTGGCCGGAGGTGGCCGGAAAATGGCCTGAAAGACAGCTGTCCGCGGGAAAACTAGTGACTCGCCGGAATTTCTGGGCAGCCTTTCAACATCCATAACTTTATCAATACTCAACGAAATCAAGTGATTCAAAAATGTAAATCATAGTTCTCAATGAGATGAAGAGATTGATACCTTTCTCGATGGCTAACTAGCTGTGCTTTGGCAGGAAAAGCGTCTAGAATACGGCCAAACAGTCACGGTTTTGAATTTCCAGATTTCTGGAAAATGCTTCCCGAGTTGATTTTCGAGTTAAAACCTTCATCAAAGTCATTTTTAATCACTAACCAAGTAACACAGATTACGGGGAAGGAAGATCGAAGGAGTTTCGAAACTCACCTTCATCGGAGATGACGATACGTCATCAGAGATGGATGCACAGTAACTGTGCCGTGTAAGGTGATGAAGAAGGGAATCTTTGCTATTTTAGGACCTAGGACGATGGTTGGTCGATGGTGTGTCTGATGGAGTGATGGGGAAAGCACGGTAAAGAAAGGAAGATGAGAGGGAAGATGGTGAAGTGACTATGTCGGCCAAGAGGGAGAAAGATGGGATGTATGTGTGCGTGTTAAGTGACAGAAAGAAGAAATAGGCAGGGAATATGGATCACGGGCCAAAATGGAACCCTCCAGAAATTGGGGGAGAAATATGTCACGTGGCAGCTCCTGAGTGGTTCAAGGGTATATGAAATTACAAAAACACCCTTGTGTTTAAAATTTTGTAGAAGCTTCAATTTAGCTTTGAATTCAAATTCATTTGCGCGACGTGAACTACGAGAATATGCCAAGAAAATGAGTCTTACATGACACAACAAGAGGGTCAACAAAAGTCAACGTATTTGCCTCAAAGAGCATTTTTGAAATTTTGCATTTTAAAATTATAAAATTCATAATAATTGGGGACGGGTCATTACATAATGACATTAAATAAGATATCTATTAAACATTAAAACAAAAATATAATATGAATTTAAATTAAGTACATATTAAGGGACTAAAACCAATCCAATCTAATTAAAGTTCAAAAACCCCAATTCTAATTTTACGACAGATAGTTTAGCGAACTATAATCTTTAGGTTTAGTCATTTTAATTTTGATAATCGTCCTTGTTTACATAGTTTTGTTCATAAGAATCGACTTGAGATGTTCTTGTCTAGATTATTTATCAATAAAAAAACATGTCGATTCTAAAATCATACATTTTTTTATTGATTATTATTATTAAGGAGATGAAAATTTTGAAACTGTTACAATAGTTTAAGAGATCGAGGAGTTTAGAATCCGAAGCACATGCCCGCGAATTCTAAAATCATATGTTGCTTGTGGTTTGTTAAGTGTAATTTTATAGTCATTCATAATAAAAAATGTAAGTGCAATTTTATAATCATCAAGAGGATAAAATGTTACCAATAATTTAATTTAGGAATCAAAAGTTGATTTACAAAAAGCCTCATCCACAAAAAGTCTAAGTTTGTAGCAATAGATGACTAGAGACAGCTATGACGTTACATGTAGTATTTATGTTCACCTATAGCTCGTCGTAAATAAATCGCTACAATTACAATTTAATGATATCTTTTTTAACTTTAAAATGGAAGTGCCAAGTTAAGCTCTCATTATCTCATATAAAGATGATGAGTTTGATATCTAGCTATGATCTATTAGATTCGCCACGTTACTTCATTCTTGTGGAGATCGAGAAGGTTTACAGAAGCATTTCAACCTCTCATTGATCACCGTTATGAGATTCACTAGCAATGATCTATCATATGACTAATCCCAAATAACAAAAATAGAAATTGTTCTTGTACCAGTATAAAGTCATGACGCACTCTTCTACCTCGTATTTATTCCACTATTAATTTTTTTTGGAGTTTAAATACATAAACACTAATTTGAATCTTTAAAAAATAGAGTAAATTGTAGTAATGGTCTCTTAACTTCAACTCAATTGGAGCAATATTCTCTCAATTAAAAATTTATTACCATTGGTCCCTCAACTCATCAAAACGTGCAGCTATGGTCCCTCAACTAAAAATTCATTACCGTTTGTCCCTCAACTTTAATCTAACTAGAGAAATTATCCCTCAACTTTAATTCAATTGGAGTAATGATCCCTCAACTTTAACTCAATTGTAGCAATGGTCATTCCAACATAACTCATTTTGACAAAATTCTAACGAAATTAACAAAAAGGACCATAGCTACACGTTTGGATGAGTTAAGGGACCCCAAGTGTAGCAATGATCATTCCAACATAACTCATTTTAACAAAATTTTGATGGAGTTGACCAAAAGGACCATAGCTACACATTTTGATGAGTTCATGGACCAATGGTAATGAATTTTTAGTTGAGGGATCATTGCTCCAATTTGATTAAAGTTGAGCGACCATTGCTACAATTTACTCTAAAAATAAAACTAATTTGATGAATATAAATTTGTAAACTCGTGGACCCAATTGTTAGGTCATCTGGAACTGAAGGGTCCAAAGGACAAAAAATAACTCGAAAACTGTCTCCAACCAAGGGCTAGGCCAAAAGGTTTGTGGGCCTCACGGAATTTGAAAGGGCCAAAGGGCTGGCCCAATTTGGCCAGCTAGCCAGCCCCAAGCTAGTCAGAAATTTAAGAATTGTTGTCGAATATAACCGACATCATTGTTATTAATCCTGTCAATTATATCCGACATGAATTTTTAAACAAATTTTTTAATCCAATAGCTAGCTGATGTTAGCTAGCCATTATTGTTAATATATATATATTTTTTTTTTATTTTTTACAAAAATTTTTAAAATTGTTTTTTTTTAATTCTATTTTTTTTTCTATAACTTCCCTAAGCCATTATACAAACTTAAATTAAATTAAGTAACATGAAACAACATTAAACAATATGAAACAACATTAAATAACATTAAATTTAAATAATAAATTATGTTTGGTCCTTTGACCCTCAGTTGGAGACGGTTTTTTGTGACAAGGCTAAAACGAGCCATATGGCCCTTGGTTGGAGATGGAAGCAAATATAGACATGCATTGTTCATTAAAATATTAATTTCTTTGAAGACCAGTGAACTAAAATGAGCCATCGGCTGGAGATGGCTTTAGTTACTGCTATTGAACTTGCTACTAATAATTAAGCCAAACAAACAAAATAAAAGTGACTTAGTACTATGATCTAGTAGTATTCTTCTTCACTTGGTAGTAAGATGTCTTAGATTTGAATCTTGTGAATGATGAATTCGATACCAAATTAGGCTGCTCATTGTATGAGTTAGCCGAACTTTCTTTCCTTTTAATATAAAATATCGATGTACTAAAAAAATAAACAATAAAACAAAATAAGAAAGCAAAAAGTCGTTTCTTTTTGCCAACTTTTTATTTGCTGTAATCATCATCCCAGCAAAGAGGACCGGAAATACAAAAATTTTAGTTGACATGTTAGCAATAGTTTGAGTAAAGCATGACTAATTTGATCCAGGCCATACCCTAATTTCTTAACCAAACTTAATCCAACTTGCACTGTATATTAAGCAGAACTAAGTAAACAGGGGAAATATTTTTTATTTCCTACCAACTTAATCCAATTTAATCCAACTAGCAGAGTTTAATACGCGGCAACACGAAGTAAACCGGAAACTTTTGATTTCGGTAAAACAGTCGATGCAAGTGCTTCCTCTCAACCATACAACTTAATTTATAGGATCCAAATATGATATTTCTTTGTAATAAATGGGGATTATGTCCTTCAGCTCATCCCATCCACCAGTCTTTTTTAGGGTTAAGAAACAAAACCAGCTCTTTGTATGCATGCCGCAAGCAAGTCCAATGATTAAAGGAAGAGGCTTGAATCCCAGAAAACTTAACAAGAACTTAGCTGGCTCGGAAGTCAAGGAATAGACGCAGTTTCTGCACAAGAAGTTCCCGTGGTCCGAAAGGAGGCTTGCTGTTAACGATCCAATCCTTCTCAAGAAAGCCCTTTTTAGCACTGCTTGCCATCTGATCATGGAAAGCAGACACAATCTGGTAGATCGAGTTCCTCAGAACATCAGCAACAGCATATGCTTTTGAATGAAGCGGGCCGGCTCTCTTTTTACTCGTGCCAGTATTAGCCATGCTCGAGTTTCTCAATTTAAAACCAGTTGACCCCATGAACTGATTAGCAGACTGCAAAGTGGTCTTCTTCCCCATGTATGTTTCAACCGCAAGAAGGCAAGAAATCAGTGTGGACATTACAGCAGCATTACTACCAGAGATCTGGGCAACCCCATATCTGTCCTCTTTGTGTGAGCATGCAGTCAGTGACGCAGCTGTCCACGCACACCATGCATATAGCTGCATTAAAAAAAAATATATATATATATATATATTAGGCTTTTTAGGCGACAAAGTCCACTGTATCAATCTAAGAGCTATTGCCCTGGTCCATAACCAGAGAACAATACTAAAATGAATTGTTAGAATTTCATATAGAAGTACTAGTGGAGAATGGCAGATTAATATTATTCAATCCTCCAAAATTTCAGCCCTCCGAGAACCAGAATATTTATTCAGCCAACATATCAACAAGTAGATTGTGAAGCTCAGCATTCACTCGTGTAATGTCTTGTCATAAAAGATGTGTAAAGTTATTAGTTATTACTCCATAGATGATATGTTAGTTCACAGTTCGTCTAAACGAAGTAGTAAGACACACACAGACTGGTAAGATATATCCACGAGTATGGTTACGAATTGATCTGTTTACCTGGAAGTTATTCAAAGCTTCAGAGTATTTTGAGTCTAGTCGGTTGTCAGTTGGGGACAGTAACTGCTTGGATATTTGGGAGCCGTTTTCAATGGAACTTTCCAAGCCTTCACCTAGCTTTGATGCAAGCTGCTCCAGAGGCCGCAAGCATACAGATATAACTCTTTTGTACGTTTCACCAGTTTCCTCAAAAAATGCAGCTCTTCTCCAAGCATCCACATTATTCTCGCATACCATACAGAGATCAAGATATGCAAGATACTGAAGAAGAGAATTAGGACTGCTCTCCTCCAGAGCTGCAAGGAGAATCTCACTTGGATTTGTTTCTGCTGCTGCTGATCCTTTAGGTGGCGCAAATACGAATCTCTTTGTGTGAAGCACCTACATTACAACACAATTTCAAACAATACAGATTTCAAATTAGATGGTTAACTATAAAAGGAAGGGGCATAGAATATGAACATGAAAACTGACTCAATTGATCCAGAAATTTGTTATAGCAAACAAATAGCACCAAGTGTTCAGATTCTTTAACAAGAGATCAAACTGTGTGGTTTATAAGTATGCCATATAGCATGGTATATGACCAAGTTGTAAGTTTTCTAGTGTCATTAAGCAGTTAAGTTCACATCCAAAAAAGAAAAAGAAAAAGTAGCTAAGTTGTATTAAATTCCATCAAATGCTACTAGCAATAAATACTCAATCTAGCTATTAGGTATAAATTGTATACGAAGCTTCTGCGACTGGTTCTAACATTTGGAAAAAATATTCTGCATCATTGAGCAGGTCTACGCTGCATGAGGCTCTAGTTTATTCCACTCATGACTTCTGTT